GTCGACTCGAGAAGAGGCCGTCTAGATAGGTCGACACGTCGACGGGAAGTAGCAAAAGTGCAAAATGCCCCCGTCGTCAAACTGTGCCGTCGTGCCCTGATTGGGGCTAACTCTTGAGGTGAGGGGGGAGGCATGGCGCTGAACTAGGCCACCCTGTCTTTATAGTTTTTGAGGCCGTGCTCAAAACTTATAGTTTTTTTTTCGAAACGGTATGTGCAGTTGACTCATTTTCTGGAAACGGGTTTTACGTTTTTAAACTCACCGCTGACTGTTAGTTATCAGGTATCGTTCAGGTCGTTCGATCAAGTCATGACGGATCTCACATGTGTCGTTAAACTAGATAGTGGTGCTATCCGGAAACTGTTCGCCTTAGGAGGAAGCGCTGTAAGTCTTAACCTAAGTTTCCTGCAGTTTTCGGCAATTCTGACGAGATCAGATCCTCTTAAGGTCCTCACCTTGCAAGACTTTTTTCGGGAAGACGACGTTTTCATTGCTTATGGAAATGAGAGGGCTAGTGCCGACGACTTTTACGTGATATCGGAAGGTAATTTGGCTTTCCCTATTCTTGAATTGTACTTCCAAATAAGGAAGAAGGAGTAGTAAACATTGAGTCATTGAAGGCGACAAGTTTATGGAGATGGATTAGTCACAGTGTTGCTTTTTGGCCGGGAAATGATAGATGAAAGTGACAGGCGTGGCGAGTTTGAAGGAATCGATCAGGTCACTTTTCTGGTTGATTCCAACAAACTGCCGAGATTGGCCACTGTTTGCTCATTCTACCTACCTTCAAACGTTTCTCCTGTTGGGTTTCCCACAGCAGCCCTCTCCCTGGATAGTAACTTCAACTGCTTCCATGGTGAAAAAAATTCCACATCGTAGCCGTAATGATCCATTAAGTGAGTTTACACAGTTTCGCCCGTCCTTTTTTCGCTAGAGCTAATTGCAAGTGTTTATTAATCACCGTATCTCTGCTTTACACAACAATCCGTTTTCACGTTTTCTAGGACAAGGTGTTGGGTGCGGACTTTTATTCGCTAAATCAGTACTATTGATTTCATTTTCGTATTCCATTTTGTATTTATTCGAAGTTTCTTCTGAAATTTTGTTTAATGGTAGTCCTGTTAATTTCCCCTAGAGGCAGTTCCGCGACAGGGGGGGGGGCATTGTGCACATTTGCTACTTACTACCAACCTACCGACCCATCTAGAGAGCTTCCTAAGCTTGCAAGTGTTGGGAGGTTTTACCATAGGTGCTAGACGATCTTTCTCCAGCTTCACAAGAATTTAAAAGTTGCTTCAGAGTGAAACATACACACCTCAACCAGTGAAGCAGCGAAACGGGCAAAACGTTCCTCTCTCTCCCTCCCCCTCCTCCCGTCGCCAAACTGCACCTCCCAATTAACGCCACGGCACATCCTGCTGTTGGAAAAATTTCTGCAAAATATGACCCTCCACTCGAGATTTTTCTCTCTGGTACGCCCCCTTCTTTCCCCATTCTTCATCCTACCTACCATATTCCTAAATTTTCCCAACTTCCTAAAATATCCGAATTTTTCTCCGGAATTCTCTACTTTCTTTTTATCCCTAAGAAAAAACTCACTGAGTGTGAGGGGGAGGGGGTGGTATACAGCACACTTGAAACAGGAGAAAACCAGAAATTTCAACAACCAGAAACGTTTGTTTCAAAGGCAACCGTCTACCCTCTCACCCCTTTAACGACTAAATATGACTCCGCTCGCTGGCCGTTGGGGCTGTGGCCACTATCCATGACTATTTTCCCTACTGGTTAACTTAGCTGTGACAATGATCACCAGCACTGATCGTGGTTGTGACCCCAGGCGTGAATGGGTGACTTTGATTAGATCTCTCACAAACCTCACGATTATCTTCAGTTAATCTCTGTTCGAAGAGAAGGGGGCTGTTTGTCTGTGAATTAATTGTTTGTCCGAACAAGAGAGTGATTGGCCTGAATTCACAATAATTCTGATTGGAGCAACTGGGCATTCGGTTGGGAGGTCCAGTTCGGGGCGGCGCGGCGTTATAAGCGTTGCAAGTGGCGTCACGTGCGCGACATTCATACCAGGGTCTAGTGGAGAATGATGATCTAGCGTCTAGTTCATTCTACAAGAGTCTAGTTCGATTACAGTCACAGGTAACGGCGCTGTTCTTCCTTGGTGTGGGCATTTTACGCCTTTGCAAGTTTTTTTAGCTCTTGTTAAATTACACGTTGACCCTGGTGTGGCCTGTAAACGGAGCTCGTGCTGTTGCATAGCTCTACAAGTGTTAACAAGTCTCCGCAAGAGGCGTCGGCAATGATTCATGAGAAATTGCGAAATGGTCCACCAAGCCAAACTAATTATCTTTCGAAATTCGAACAATTGTCGATAAATTATTGAGAAATTATCCAATTTCAGAGTATAAGCGTCTCTACTCCGGTGGAGTACGTCGAGGTGGTCGACGAGGTGCCACCTCTCGTCCACGAGTGATGCCTGCTCGAAATGAAAGCTTGCGCGATGATCGCTGCGGTAGTGTGGTGCCGGATGAGTTAGGTATGTTTTTCTCGTCTAAACCTTTCCATTCATCTTTTCCGCATTTCCTGCTAATTTTTCA